GAGAAACAAAATTTATAGAAAAAAAACGAATAAAAATATGAATAAATTTATCATTAATAAAGAAATGTGATATTATTATTTAAAACTTTCCCAAAAAGAAAACTTAAAAGAACACAGAGTATCACTAGTGAATACTACTAAATATTTAAGAAAGAAACCTCACCAATCTGAGCAAATAGGTCCTCTAGAGAAGAGAAAAAAGAGAGAAAAACTTCTGACTTGTTTAATAGGGCCAGCATAACCCTGATATCAAACCCTCATAGAAAAGGAAAATGACCAGCCAATCTCAAGTGATAATATAGATGCAAAAGCCCACTAATAACATATCTTAATTGGTTGGTTTTATTTTGTATACACATTGTTTTGGTTTAAATAAAACAGTTGTAATCTTTGCTCAAAGATACTAATGAATAAGCATAATGCACCTGAATTCAGAGAGTGCATTTTTGAGGGTACATCATTAGAGCTATGCTATGAAAATAGTATAAATGTAGATGGCAACCAGATGGCTCTGGGAATAACCAAGAATTTGAGGGGAGATACAAAGGTGTTTCTCTTTCTCTGCAGCTCAGAAGACTTTGTGACTACATAATCATTCCTAGATTCCAAAGCAAGTTCCAGGTGAATGTATAATGACCTTCTGTGTTTATAATGCTTGAGGAGGAAATTATTATCCTAATTCTTTTTCATAAATGCAGTATAAAATAGACATGTAATTTATTAATACCCTGAACCATTCTCATCTCATAAATTAAAATTAGGAACAAAATGTATCATTTACTTTAGGTTTTTTAGAATAATCCTTACCCACAAGTCTTACTTCCCATAATACTTTAGTTGAAACCCTAGACTGTATCCATATTCACTTGATGTTCTGCCAAATGTTATTTCTGATATTCACGTCATATGCAATTGAGCAACGTAAAAACCTTTTAGCAATTTAGTCCACCTTTATCCCAACACAACTAAGTGTTTTTAGTCTTTGAAATATTACTGTTTCCCACTACTGCAAATACTGAAGACAACAAAAATCAATAGGTCATTAATATTATCAGACGTATTATTAAAACTTTCTCACTCACACTTTTCCCAGGATTACTTTTTCCTTCTGTTGACTCAGTCATATAATGCTCTTTTCTTTCCTTTTTAATAATTTGAGGTTTCTCTATTATACAACGAACACTATTATACTGTCTACATGGCATTTTTAAAAATCTGAATATATTTCATATGCCATGCAAGCTTCCTTACTTACAGGACATTAAAGTTTTTCAAAGTGTGGTTATCAGCTTCAGAGTTAAAATAAATATAAGGAAACATCTAATTAGCCTATGGAAAAGTCTACTTATGGAATATTGTTAACAAATAAAAACACCTGCAATACCAAAAACATTCTACCACTCTGTTAATAAATGACACTGCAAAGAGGAAATATCTTATATGCTATATATCCTGCAAAAGAAACACTATAATTCTAGAAGAACAATACACTAATATAACACTGGTATGTTCAAGATATCATTTTCACCCTAGCCAGTTTGGCTCAGTAGATAGCGCGTCAGCCTGCAGACTGAAGGGTCCCAGGTTCGATTCCGGTCAAGGGCACATGCCTGGGTTGTGGGCTCGGTCCAATGTGCAGGAGGCAGCCAATCAATTATTCCCTCTCATCATTGATGTTTCTATCTCTCTCTTCCTCTCCCTTCCTCTCTGAAATCTTTAAAAATATACTTTAAAAAGGTTATCATTTTAATGTGGAATGTTTAATAAACTCAGTTTGTACACCACTGTGTGTTTTGTTACAAAATATTATCTAAAAATTTTCCAATGCCATTACTTTTAAACTCTAAGTAGAAATTTCTATCTCAGAGGCACCATCTTAGATAACAATCTAAAAAAATTAAATTGCCCATCAAGAATCTTAACAGAAAAAATTGACATGAGACACATGTTGTCTGCTTGATGCACAGTGGGCCAATTTTCTTTATAGCTGTCAAATATTATCAATAGGAAAGACATAAATATAAATGTTTTCATAAATTTCTTTTTTTTTAAAGGGCAGGCCGGAACTCATTTTTTAAAAATATTTTTTATTGATTTTTTACAGAGAGGAAAGGAGAGGGATAGAGATCCAGAAACATCGATGAGAGAGAAGCATTGATCAGCTGCCTCCTGCACACTCCCTACTGGGGATGTGCCCACAACCAAGGTACATGCCCTTGACCAGAATCAAACCTGGGACCCTTGAGTCTGCAGGCTGACGCTCTATCCACTGAACCAAACCGTTAGGGCCATAAGTTTCTTAAACTGATAGATTTAAGTATTTTAAACTAAAATAAGATAGAGCCCTAACCAGTTTGGCTCAGTGGATAGACCATCAGCCTGTGGACTGAAGGGTCCCAGGTTTGATTCCGGACAAGGGCATGTACCTTGGTTGCGGGCACATCCCCAGTAGGATCGATGTTTCTCTCTCATCAATGGTTTTAACTCTCTATCCCTCTCCCTTCCTTTCTGTAAAAAAATCAATAAAATACATTTTTTTAAAAATTAAAAATAAATAAAATAAGATAGAAAAGCTTAGAATTTGAACAGACTATAAACACATGAATCAATATGATTCTGTATGACTCAGGCACACATTAAAATTATTACTCCAGCTTTATAAAAGTTACTTTACCCATGTTTTAGTGCATCACACTTTCTTTATATATCAGGAAATATCCAACCCACAAAAATTATTGGCAGACAATGAACTGCTTAATAAGTGCAGTATCAACAATGATGGAAAAGACTGTTCAACTGGATGAATGGGGTGACACAATATTCCTGCATGCATGAATAGTACATTTCTGTTACTTTATCACTCATGTTAGTAAAAATTTGGTCTTGGGGACAGCTATATTTTTTCTTCTGAGTAGCTGTTTTTCCTTCTAACTTCCAGATCCATTGGTTTTCTTATCACTCACTTATATTACCTTTCGAGTCTAGTCAAAATGTGTTTCTCAAACCATTCCTGACCCCCAAACTTCAAAGACATTACTTGTATCCAAATCTCTCTTTGTTACAGAAGGCAATGAAATAAAAGAAATAAATGGTGAGTGTTTATGCACTAAGTGCTTTGATACTTGAAATATTAACATTTTATGCATCAATTTTTTCCTTTAAATTAATTGCATTTAATTTGAATTCACTGCAAATTTCACATGTAATGATGTGCATCCTTACTAATCACTTTGTTATCCACAGAATACAGCATTGAGGTTTTTCATGTTAGCTTTAGGATCATAAAATGCCTTTATGTTGTTTCATTATTATATAAAAATGATCTTTAAACAGTTAGCTATATATACACATGTAAAGTAAGTTAAAGTTTTTGCCTCTATGGTGAACAGTGTTAACATCCAATTCATACATGCACAAATTTATTATTCATTCAGCAAATACTTACTAATCGTATCGTATATACAGGATTTTATTATATCTTGTGTGACTATTAAATATGCAAAATTATAATGGTATAAGTCTATTTTTGCAGTTAACATCATTATTTGAAGGAAAATAACATAACCCACTTTTCCCTTATTACCTGGAACAGTAAAACAAGGATCTTCCATTCCCCCTAATTTCTGCACACCTCTTTCCCTTCTATTCATGATTTCTGTGAGAAGTTAGAAAGAATAGTGTAAAACTGCTAGCCCAATTGCTACCATTCCATTAAAAAAGTTTTATAATGCCAAGAGGCACTAAGGATAAATGAAAGTGTTTAAATAATTTAACATTCAAATATGGTATTTATTTATAAGTATATTGGCTTCTAAAATAATAAGAATAGTAAATCCAAGTTGAATGGACTTTGAATGGTAAGTGCACCTTTGAAAACACTGGTTTGTTTTTTCCTTTTTTAAAATATTTTTTAAAATATTTTTTATTGATTTTTTACAGTGAGGAAGAGAGAGCGATAGAGTTAGAAACATCAATGAGAGAGAAACATCGATCAGCTGCCCCTTGCACACCTCCTACTGGGGATGTGCCCGCAACCAAGGTACATGCCCTTGGCCGGAATCGAACCTGGGACCTTTCAGTTCGCAGGCTGACGCTCTATCCACTGAGCCAAACCGGTTAGGGCAAAACACTGGTTTTTGACATAATAATTACTCATCTTTCTTGTGAAATCCTATATAATAAAAGGCTAATATGCAAATTGTCCTGGGAGTTTGACCAGGGGGCAGGGCTGGCCCATCAATTGCCCACAGCCCCTCCCCCTGGCCAGCCTGGTCAGACTGCCATGGAGCCCACCCACACATGAATTTGTCAACAAAACACAAATAAAAAGTTGTCAAGTCCTATGCACAATGCCATCATCTTTCTATGACATGCTTATAATTTCTATGGACTGACTAATACTGTGTGGAGCTATTAGCTATGTTGTGGAGTATTGTTCTCAAAAAAGACTACTTTGCAAAAAGGCACTCATGTAAAGGATAGCCTATGCTGCGTTTTACTAGATGGTATGTCATTCAAGAATCAATTCAAATGCCATCTCTATCACAAAGCTTTCTCTGACTCCCTCCTCCATGCTCACATGTTCTCTCATGTTCTCTCTCCCTTCTTTGAACATCCATTGTAATTTATTTTTACATCTCTTTAGGTTATCATCATTTTTACTCATCTATTATAAAGTTTAAGTAAATGTCTCATCTTCCATGATATTAAGCTTGTACTCTGCAAAAACTCACATACTTTTCATTCCCACTCTAGGTCTTACACATCTTTTACTCAGAATAATTTTTGAATAAAGGGATAATTGCTTTAAGTAATTTCTTAAAGAAATTCCTAAAAGGAATGATTTAAAAACATTTCAGGTCATTTATTACCTATACTAGGCACTTTGGTGCTTTTTTTATTTTTAATTTTATATCTTTATGTTATATTACTTTTATTGTTCTTTAATGGGTTTGGATTTCTTACCCTTGTTTCTCAAAAATAAACTATAATCTCCTTGAGGTCAAGAACAGTCTTTTAATACTTTTATACTCCCAGAATTCTTAGCACAGGGAGTACTAAGCAGGAGTGTTCAACTCAATGCATTAAATGTTGCCAAAGGATCATCTAATAAACATTTAAAAACATCTGCCAGTCATCTCCTGGCTAAGAAAATCAAATCCCACAAAATTTACTTACCATGGCATTGACATTTATGTGATCTTTCCTATTCCGAATCTGAATACAGGATATTGGCAAATTCAGTCCTACCCCAGTGGCCAGATTTCTCAGGTCAGCAGCACTGTACTCCCCACGCCATAGCAAACTGTTATTATCAGAACCAAGTCCCAAGGAAGCCCAATAGAGATAGGTCTGAGAAAGTCTCTCGACTGTAGTGACATCTATTGTGGCTGATGCCACGCAAGGATTCAAAGTCACCTCCCTTCCATTCCTCAGCTCCTCTGGAGAGCAACAGCAGCTCCGAGAGCAATAACCTGGGCTCTGGCTCAATTTGATACACACAAAGAAAAGTAAGCACCCCAGAAATAAAAAGGAAATACAGGCCAGAGCAATTACTAAATACAGGTTCCGGGCAGAGAGGTGCCCTCCTGTTTCCCAGGCATCTTCAAAGTCTGGAAGGACCTGAGGAACAGAGTTGCTCAACAGCACACCCAGTGTGACCGAGGAGGAGAGTGGTGGGTCTCCACGGTCCCGAACCACTACTACCACCCTCTGTTTCACTGCATCAGTGGGAAGAACTAAGCGGGCAGTACGGAGCTCTCCCATGTTGGCTGAAATTCTGAAAAGGCTAGAGTCAGAAGCCTGGGAGATGTGGTAGGAAAGCCAGGCATTGGAGCCGCTGTCTGCATCCTCTGCGACTACTTTTGTGACCAAGTGTCCAGTTCTGGCAGAGCGGGGCACGATTTCCACTGGGACGGTGCCATTTCTGGTCACAGGAAACAAGATGACGGGAGCATTGTCGTTCCTATCTACCACAAACAAGTTCACAGTCACGGTTGCACTTCTGGGAGGAATGCCCCCATCCCGGGCTTCCACTTGAAAGTGAACCTCCTTGAGCTGCTCAAAGTCAAAGGAAGTTTTGGCAGTGATAGCCCCGCTGGATGATTCTACTGCCACCCAGCTAGCGGCTGTCTGCCCTTCAGAGCTAATATCCAACAGTTCATAGAAGACACGGCCATTGTTCCCTAAGTCTGGGTCCTGGGCAAACACGCGGCCTAGAGAGGCTCCAGGGCCATTGTTTTCAGCCACAAAAAGTTCCTGTCGAGGTTGAGGGAAGCTTGGTGCATTGTCATTCACATCAGCAACTAACACAGTCAGTGTCCTGCGGGTGCTAAGTGGTGGCGAGCCACCGTCTGAGGCGGTGATCAGGACCTGGTATTCGCTGACCTGCTCCCGGTCCAGCGGCCCATCAGTGAGCAAACTGTAGTAATTGTCAAAAGAAGCCTTCAGCTTAAAAGGGCCTCCATTGGATATGCTACAAATGACCTTACCATTGGGACCGAGGTCCTCATCCCTTACACTGAGGAGAGCAATCACTGTGCCGGGGGCGGTGCCCTCGGAAACGGGGCTGGAGAGAGTCAGCAGGTTCACCTCCGGGGCGTGGTCGTTCACGTCAGTCACTTCCACCAGCAGTTTGGCGGTGCTGGCCAGACCGAAGGCGCCCTCATCCCTCGCCTCGATGTATGCCTCCAGCAGCGTTTCAGGAGGACCTAGCAAAGCTGCTACCCGCACCTCCCCATTTCTAGGGTGAACGTGAAAGTGGTGTCGCAGCTTTGCCTGCGTGCTGCTGCTTAAGGAGTACCGGACTTCCCCATTGGAGCCTTCGTCCGGGTCCGAGGCCCGAACTCGGACTAACACGGTACCGTTGGGTACAGTCTCTGGCACCCTGGTGCGATATACCGTGCGCTCAAATACAGGTGCATTGTCGTTTGTGTCCACCACAATGATGGTGACCTGCGCGTCCCCGGAGCGTGCGGGCCGCCCGCGGTCGTGAGCGGTGAGCACCAGCCTGTGGGTGGCGCGTTCCTCGCGATCCAGAGCTTTCTCCAGAACCAACTCTGGGAACTCGCTGCCGTCGGCCCGCGACCCCATGTCCAGGCGGAAGTGCTGGCTGGGGCTCAGGCTGTAGCTGAGCACCCCGTTGCTTCCCTCATCGGCATCTTGGGCGCTGGGGAGGGTAAAACGGGCCCCCGGCGCCAGGAACTCGGGGATGTGCAGCTGCACGTCGCGGGCGGGGAAGAGAGGCGAGTTGTCGTTGATATCCAGGACGTGGATGCGCATCTTGTGCAGCTCCAGCGGGTCCTCAAGCACCAGCTCATAGGTCAAGACGCAGGGAGCTTTGGCCCCGCAAAGCCGTTCGCGGTCCGCCGGCTCTCGGACCACCAAGCTACCGCTGGCCAGATCCACCCCGAAGTAGGGCCCGTCGTGGCTGGAAAGGAAGCGAAAGTTCCGCCAGGACAGAACCGCCGCTGACAGCCGCAGGTCCGCGGTGACGTTGCCTACGGCCACGCCCCGCGGAGTCTCCTCCAACACTGAGTATTCGAGTTGTCCCGCGGCAGCGCCACAGGAGACCCACACACACAGAACCGCCACCGTCCAGCCCACCACCCTCCCTGTTGGCATCCTCGCTCCACCAGCGATGGCCCGGGACCATGCTCCGCACTCCCGGAGAGCACGGGCCGTGGTAAAGAGCAAGGGCCGCCGGCCGCCGCTCGGCTTAGAGGTGCAGAGACCGCCGACGTTCCGCCTTCTAGATGCCGGGGTTGCCCGGGACTGGCCGGCGGGGAGCTCGCCTGACTAGAGCCGAGGCTTGGCAGCCGTCTGGGGAAGCGGAGCGGGCCGTGTGCGGAGGGGCGCAGCGCCGCCTAGGGGTGCAGAGACGAGGTAACCGGCCGAGGTGGGGAAGCGCCGTCCCGGTAACCTGCCCGCTGGGATCGCGCCCGGAACCCAGGCAGCGGGCGCCGGGCGGGCAAGGAAGACGCTCTGAGAACCTAACACAGCTTCACTTCATCGGTGTTTGCTAGGACACCGCCCCGGCCTTAGCCTCCACAAACTCCGCCTGAAGACAGCTTGTAACTAGGACTGAGCTCGGCTGGGCTTCACTCGCCGACTGTTAGAGCGCGGAGCGTTCAGTCGGGGAACCGCGGACCCCTAAATGCGCGCAAGAGCGCGGAACTCCGAGAGGAACTTCCCCGCGGGGATGAGAGGCGGAACCTTGACCGCGAACGAACACCAGCCCCGATCCTCGTGCTGTGGTGCATTCGTGCTGGATGCCCAGCCTCTCCGCTGCGGGGTAAAGTCTCTCCGGCATCTCCGCATAATCCCAGGAGCCCCCAAGATTTAAACAGAGGCATCCAGCCAGGGGAACAGTGACCTCCCTAAAGCTTCCTCCGGACTCTCGCTTTGTGATGCACCAAAGTGGGAGAGTTCACGGCTTACGGTTTCTATGTTCAGCTTTTTTTCGCGTCAGCAGTTTCTCTTTCCCCAGGAGACTCTACTGTGAGTGTTTGCTAGCGCCCGGGGCGGCGGGGGGGTGGGGGGGGAGGAGGTCAGGAACCAGTCAATATCCAGCATCAGAAATTCGGAAAGATGGACAACTCATTCCCAAACAGGACATGAGAGGTTGAGGGGAGAGGAAGTACTGAGATACTATCCAGAGTGTGACCAGGAAACTACTCCATGAATATTTTGAAAACAGCAATGAGGCAGGGTAAGAACAGGCTAGATACCTATACTTTCTCCATCTTCTTTTTTTTTCTTTTCATTTATTTTTTTTTTATTTTAGAGAGAGAGGGAAAGAGGAAGGAAGAGAGAAAGAAACATTGATTTGTTGTTCCACTTATTCATGCATTCATTGGTTGATTCTAGTATGTGCCCTGACCCGGGATCAAACCCGCAACCTTGGCTTATCAGGAAGCCACTCCAAACCAGCTGAGCTACCCAGCAAGGGCCTTCATCTTTGTTTTTAAGCCAGTCTTCTGCACAGAAATCCTAGTGTTCCGTTCTATTAAAAACGACTGTGAGCTACAAGTAATACCTCCAAATTCTGCCTAGCTCCCTACAACCAGTGGCTTTCCCTGAGATGGAGACAAGATGAAAAAAGAAACTGACTTAAGTTACTATTAAACACTAAATTCCTCAATTAAATCCTTCTTTTAATACAACTGCAGTATTCAAAGTCCTAAGAACCAAAATTTGAAAGACAAAAGCTGACTACAAGTCAAGAATTGAAGCTTTCAGGGCATTCTATTTTCTGATCAGAAAACTGCCTGAATATTGTTAATTATTGAAACCGAATGCAGGATACATGGGGGTTAATTGCATCATTCTCTCCACTCTAGTGTATGTTTGAATATTTCTAAAATAACTTTTTAATTGATGATTAAAATGGCGGGGGTGGGGGAGACCAATCACCTCCCTGGAACATCACAAACTCATCTCTTATCTCTTCCAAGGAAGAAGAGCAGGCTGCGATACCAGGTAATATAAGCAGTAAATGCCCCTGTCTAGTTTTTCTTTGTAAAGTAAGGAACCAAAAGCTCATCAAGTCTTGGATAAAATTAAAGCAGGAAGCATGTCAGCCCGTTGAAGGGTTAGGTAGAGTCATAGGTATAGCCATCTTTGGGGATCTTCATTAGGATGCGAAATAACTGATACAAATTAAATTTATTCTTCACTAAATTTCAGAACCAAAACTAATTGTCTGCTTCAATTTGTAGACAATTAGTGCCAGAGGTTACGATTTGCATTTCCTTATTTTAATTTAATGCTGCTAACCAGGCTAACCTGTTTTGGGGTGAACGGTTATAATTTTCACTTTTCCTTTAGCATTAGGTGAAATACACCTGGAGAAGATGTACTCAACTTCTGGAAGGCCCCAACTTTTAGCATTCAAGCTCCCGATTATACTGGGTTTAGGAACTCTGAGCTGTATCTGGGGGGGGGGGGGGGGATTAGGAAGAGGGGGAAAGGAAAAACTCATCTTGACAAATACTCTTCCCTCTTCACACACTTCTCAGACTTTGGGCTTCCCTTTTTCTCACTTCTCTAAACTGGCACTGGTGTCTAATTTCAAAGATTTAATTTGTGCCAAAAATAAGAGGATAGCACTCACCTAGTGGAATTTGTTCCACCATCTGCCTCCATATGTTTAGGCATAACTGTGATTTGTGGGAAAGCAATATTTACTCAAATACAATGGAATTTGTGGGAAAGAAATATTTAGGAAATATTTGGAAATCCCATAGATGAGAAAGTCTCAAAAATTTTTCCTTTTGTATAAGATGACTAGGTAAACACTAAAATCATGAATTAACAAAATATTTCTTTAGCAGAACCTTTCCTTTCTGACATTTCATTTTGCCATTTTATGGCATTATCCATAGTTTCTCATAATTGAGGCATTTTTAATTTTTTTTCTTTTTTTAATATATTTTATTGATTTTTTACAGAGAGGAAAGGAGATAGACAGAGAGCTAGAAACATCGATGAGAAAGAAACATCGACCAGCTGCCTCCTGCACATCCCCTACTGAGGATGTGGCCGCAACCCAGGTACATGCCCTTGACCGGAATCGAACCTGGGACCCTTCAGTCCGCAAGCTGATGTTCTATCCACTGAGCCAAACCGGTTTTGGCCATTTTTAATTTTTTAACTAGGTACAAGTACAACTTTAAGTGGACTTGATGCAAAAACACAGTCCTGATTTCTGCTTGGGCTCTATTGCCAAGATTATTATAATAAAGCTCTCCCACCAAACTTGGCCTTAAACTGTAAGTTCAAAAGATTTCTAGGCATATGCATAAACTCCTGTTAGACATTTTGAGGTCAAACAAACAAACAAAAACAGTAAACCTATACTCACTGAAGAGTTTGTCAGCAAAAGAATATTATACTTTAAGCAAAATTTCTTAGTGCTTAAGATGACTCCCTGGGAGTATATTATGAAAACTAAAGGATACGACATCACAAATTTTAATCTAATAAAATAGCTTAATGAAGTTTCCAAAACAAATCCAACAGAGTGGGAATTCTTTGTATCACTGTGTCATTCTTTTTTTTTACTTAAACACTTTACCAATGACACAGTACTACATAATTTCTTTCTCAGATTTCTAGTGCTAAGGAATTAGTTTCTCTCCATGACAGAGCCCCATATACTAGTAAAATGTCTTGGATCTTTCTTCATGAATCTTCACTCTAATTAATTCTATGCTGAATTTACTTACTACTTTCTATAATCATGTGCCATTTTTTTAAATTACCTTTTTCTAAAAATATTTTTCCATTTCATCTTTAAAGTGTAACCCTCAAAACTTAAAGTCATACTCCAGGTTGGTCAAATCAGATCCAAGAAGAGGCAATCTAGTTCACTGATTTTAAATAGCGCATATCAAGTAATGGAGTCTGAAGTTGCACCTGGGCCCTGGCCAGTGTGGCTCAGTTGGTTGGGCATTACCCTGTGCATCAAAAGGTTGATGATTCCATTCCCAATTAGGGCACATGCCCAGGGTTTCAAGCTTGATTGTGGTAAGGGGTGTGCAGGGGGGCAGCTAATCAATGTTTCTCTCCCTCTCCCTTCTATTCTCTCTAAAAATCAATTAAAAAGTCAATCACTTTTAAAATTTTATTGATTTTTAGAGAGAGAACGGAAGAGTGAGAGAGAGACATCGATGTGTAAGAGAAACATTGTCGATTGCCTCTTGCAGGCACTCTGACTAGGGGTCAAACCTGAAACCTGGGCATGTGCCCTGACCTGAAATGGAACCTGCCACCTTTTGGTGTATGGGAAGATGCTCTCACCAACTGAGCCAGCCAGGGCTGCATCTGGTTCTTAAACAGTTACATCACATACTTTTTCATGATAGATTGAAAACTAAAATAAACACACATTTTTTTTTCTAGATGCTACTAAACCACACATCGAAAAGTCCTAAACTTTTATACTTACATTTTTTTTTACTTAAATTTGTTTAATGCCTGGTCTAATCACATAATATATTTTACCTACATCCAAATTTCATATTCCTACATATTTGGTAAGCAGTCACACTAGATGTTCTTCTGAGCTACAGATGAAATTTTTCATCAAGTGTGGCTGCAAAGAAAGGCCTGCAATTACTACCAACCAACCTATCTGACATCAGTTTATTAGATGGTGTCTAACCTGAAATAAAAATTTGACAAAGATACTAATAGTCTCCAAAAATGAATCTATGCAAATCTCATATAATAGTTTCCAAAAATGCTAAACAAAATATTGCCAGGTCACCATTATGATAGATGCTTAAAAGAAATTTGATAAATGAACAATATAAACTGATGAACAAAAACAGATCCAGAGACAGAGAAGCAATCAGACTGAACAAAAACAGATCCAGAGACAGAGAAGCATCAATCAGACTGTCAAACCTCAGAGGGGAGGGGAGGGTGGGGGTAAGGGGGAGAGATCAACCAAAGTACTTGTATGCATGCATGTAAGCATAATCAATGGACACAGACACCAGGGGGGTGAGGGGGCATGAGTGGGGGGAGGGCAATGGGGAGATAAGGACACATATGTAATACCTTAATCTATAAAGGAAATTTTTTTAAAAAGAAATTTGATAAGAATTTGGCAAACATCACAAAACAATGGTCATCTTCATTTTACACAGTAAAACACCAGAATTATTCCCATCAAAAGTCATGAACATAATGCAGGACACTTCAGGTCACACTTATTATTCAGTACTGACTTGGATACCCTAGTCAAAACAAGATAAGGAAATGTGTGTGCGTTTTAGAAAAGAGAATAAAATATATTGTTAGATGATAAATTTATAGGTAATATAATTTCCTACTCATAAAATCACAGAGAATTACAAAAAATAATTAAAACTAAAAAGAGTTCAATGAGATGATTACCTTAAAAATAAAAAACCTAGCTTTCATACATACCTGCAATAACTAGACAAAAAGTGGAATTTCTACCAATCATGGACAAATGAAAATGGAGATTTTAATGTCTCTCCTTCTCCATGAAACCAACCAAAAATAATAAAATGTACAGCCAAGCCCAAGCTGGTTTGGCTCAGTGGATAGAGTGTCAACCTTCAGACTGAAGGGTTCTGGGTTCAATTCTGGTCTAGGGCACATGCCTGGGTTGTGGGCTCCATCCCCAGTAGGGGGTGTGCAGGAGGCCAATCAATTATTCTCTCTCATCATTGATGTTTCTATCTCTCTCTCCCTCTCCCTTCCTCTCTGAAATCAATAAAAATGTTTTTTTAAACTTTGCAGCTGTGCCCTAGCCAATTTGGCTCAGTGGATAGAGCATCGGCCTGTGGACTGAAGGATCCCGTGTTTGAGTCCAGTCAAGGGCACATGCCTGGGTTGTGGACTCAATCCCCATGGTGGGCATGCAGAAGGCAGCTGATTAATGATTCTCTCTCATCATTGATGTTTCTATCTCTCTCTCCCTCTCCCTTCCTCTCTGAATTCAATAAAAATATATTTTTTAAAATAAATAAAATAAAACTTTGCAGATGTACTCTAATCTTGCTTTTTAAAAAAGAATACTTTAGAAGGAATCAATAGCAGGTTAGATAAAGCAGAGGATCAAGTCAGCAATTTGGAAGACAGTGTAGCAAAAAACACCCAATCAGAACAGCAAAAAGAAAAAAGAATTTTTAAAAATGAGGATAGCTTAAGGGACCTCTGGGATATTGTCAAGCATAAAAACATCCACATCCTGAAGGAGAAGAGAGACAGCAAGGGATTGAGAACCTATTTGAAGAAATAATGACTGAAAAGTTTCCTAACCTGGTGAAGAAAAAAGACACACAAGTCCAGGAAGCACAGAGTCCTAAACAAGATGAACCCAAAAAGGCCCACACCAAGACACATCATAATTAAAATGGCAAATGTTAATGACAAAGATAGAATCTTAAAAGCAGCATGAAAAAGACAGTTAATTACAAGGGAGCTCCTATAAGATTGTCAGCTGATTTCTTAACAGAAACATTTCAGGTCAGAAGGGATTGACATGAAATATTCAAAGTGATAAAAAGCAAAAACCTACAATCAACACTACTCTACCCAGCAAGACTATTACTTATTATTTAAAAATTGAATGTGAAATAAAGCTCTTCCCAGACAAGAAAAAGATAACAGAGTTCATTACCACCATACCAGCATTACAAAAAATGTTAAAGGGTCTTTCTTAAGAAAAAGAAAGAAAAGAGAGGAACATAGTTATAAAGAATAAAGTGGTACAAATACACTGTATCTACAATTATTTAATTTAGCCTTTCCTTTGAGTATTATATTACAAGCATTTTAATATGTCATTGACATGCCTGTCAGTCTTTTCCTTTGTGATTTCATCTGCTACTTCAAACCTTAGAGAATTGTAATCTCTGTGGATTTTTCTTAGTTTCAATCAAGTACAATGTCTCTTCCACACCTCCTTTTCTCATCCTTTCCTTGAACTTTGCTTTAAATATTGTTTGTTTTAGATATACCTCAAGGCAGATTTACTTTTAAGCCTCAATCTCTTGTTTATATCACACATATAAAGGATTCAGACAAGGGGTAATCATATTTTAATTTACGAGGATTTATGAGTAAAGGTTATAGGAATTGTGCTTGTTCAACTTTGACACTGAATCAGCTTATTGGTGTGGGTGAGAAGATTGACAAACTTTAAAAGACTTAAAGTAGATGAAAGGATAGATACTATTCACCAACTGTTCTCCATTTCTGTTAAGAGTTAAAGGAAATGTATATATTAGAGTAAGAACAACTTAGGTTTGAAAATATAGAATTGTTACACAGGTATCAGAATTAATATATTGAGTTCTATTATGAAGAGAGACTGATCTTGCCTAGATTGCAAAATTACAGACTCTGTAATGATTTTAAATATTTATATAGCATTTTGTAGTTTACAAAACAATTCCCCATAATTATTTCATCTGATTCTCATAGCAGCCATGTGAAGTAGGCATATATCCACTTAAGGATGAGGAAACTGACTTACTGAATTTCAAAGTTACAAAGTTGTACAACTTGCTCTCTTTTAAAAATGTTTTTTATGGGACATAAGGAAGGCCAAGAGACATATGAAAACATGCTCGAAGTCACTAATCATCCGAGAGATGCAAATCAAAATGACAAGGAGGTACCATCTCACACCAGTCAGAATGGCTATCATAAATGAGTCAGAAAATGACAAGTGCTGAAGAGAATGTAGAGAAAAAGGAACCCTCCTTCACTGCTGGTGGGAATGCAGACTGGTGCAGCCACTGTGGAGAACAGTATGGAGTTTCCTCAAAAAACTAAAAATGGAACTTCCATTTGACCCAGTGATCCCACTTCTAGGAATATATCCCAAGAAACCAGAAACACCAATCAGAAAGGATATATGCACCCTTATGTTCATAGCAGCACAATTTACAATAGCTAAGATTTGGAATCAGCCTAAGTGCCCGTCAGCAGAAGAGTAGATTAAAAAACTTTGGCACATCTATGCAATGGAATACTATGCCACAATAAAAAAGAAGAAACTCCTACCATTTGAAACTGCATGGATGGAGCTGAAGAGCATTATGCTAAGTGAAATAAGTCAGTCAGAGAAAGATAAATATCACATGATCTCACTCATTTGTGGACTATAATGAACAACATAAACCGATGAACAAAAACAGATGTAGAGACA